GTTAGCAGTATCGATTAGTCAACACAACCCCTCTGATAATAATAATGAGTCGTAGGTAATAATTACTATAAAACTTCATTGAGAATAATGAATTCTAATCGTATTCTACTTCACGCTCCACTTCATTACAAGTGTATTCACATAATTTGAAAAAGAAACATATACTTATTCATTGAAGATGCCCATTAGGGATTTCAAACGTCTGGTCACTGTACAAAGTATATTCACATTTTCGATAGCCTCTTCTCCATCTGATTCTACAGTTTTATGCATTTAAAGTGATGAAAACAATTTAGAGGATCAGGAGTAATCCTCACTGATAGGAGTCAGTTTATTCAAGAACATGTAAGTGAGAAATATCGAAAACTTGAGGAAAAAAGGTTTCATTAATAAAGCAGAGTTTGCTTTACCGACAGATATCACTTAGAGAACTAGTGATAACCACAAATGAGTACTGGGCAGCTGTTTCGCCCTAGTTTGGGAATGGTCGATGTTATGCGTCTAGTGGGTTTTGAATCCAAGACCTCCCAGTCATAAGGTGAGCTCGTTTACCATTGGAATCAGATTTCTACCAATTTTTTGAAAGTCCTGGTTTCAAACTTCAGGGGGTGTGTACTGCTTAGTGGCTTTCAATGTCCGTCTATCTCTAGTAGCATTCCGTGGGCGAACTCGAAACAAATCAAATCCCTATAAACAAACTATTGAAAATAAAATAGAGAATGAATGTAAGTGGCACAGTGGTTAGGACTCTCGCCGATCATACACATGGTCCGAGGTTCGAACCCCCGCCGACGCACACCCAATATCAATGGTTGGCCTGCAAAATTTGGGCTACCGATATCCAGTGTGGAATCAAGCTGTAATAAAGAAAAATGCGCATTTGTCTAAAGAAACTGAGAGAAGAACAGACACTTTCCAAAAGTTTTTGTTTGAACAGCTCGCACCTACAGGCGACTACATGCCAATAATTATACGGCCTTCTCTAAGTACATAAATCTAAGGTACCGTTAAGCTCAATTCTAGATATGCACAATTCGCCAAACTATGCTTTAGCTTCAAATGGTCTCTGACTATTCTTCAACATTTCAATGAACAGCTAGTGAAACATAAGGTGAAATGCGTGTTTGAATTCATAGACAGTAATAAAGATATTAACGTCAAAGATAAAACTATGACTATGATGTTTATATGTAACTTCTCAGTTTACAAATGGACCTCTCTAATAATTGAAACAGTTAATCACATCTGTGAACGAATAAGCTTTTCCAATGGTTCTCTTACTAATGTCAGCTGATGATGAAATCCTGAAATAAATAAAAAATCGATGCAAGTTGAAATCTTAGAATAAAACCCTGAAGAATTACAACTAAAAAGTAACCATGAATGTGAATTCCAGAGAGAGAGATTGACGGAGTGCCAGTGGGCTTCACAATGAGTCCCATTTTAACTGATTGCTTTATCAGTAAACAAGAAAATAGTGCTTTAAATTATATTATCAGAAAACTGTCATTCTGTTGCCCAAATTTCGGATGATACATTCATTGTTTATGCAAGTGACCTAGATAAGCTGATAATAACAGCTTAATTAAAACTAAAATGTTTGTGATGTCAAGTGGCAAAGCAAATTAATGTCATATATAGAATAATTCATAGAAGGGATAGAACTTGAAAAAGGATGAGCAATTATAGGATTAGTAGACAAATCGAATAAAACAAAAACGTTACGTAATATTGTGTGAAATTTAATGGCATAGAATTTATCGTTGTAAAAAACAATTGATTTAGAATGACAAGTGGAACAAGTGAAATAATACCGGGGACAGTTCAAAGTGAGAATAGTAATAATAACAATAATATTTGGCTAGTAGAAGCTACCACTATAATCACAAACATTTTAGTTTTAATTGAACTTCATGTGATTATTATTAATAATACCTTAAGTCAATGAATCCCAATAAGTTATCAAGCTCACGTGTAAAAAATCCCAAAGAACAATTGCCCTGCCAGGCGTTCTTCTAACAAGAAAACCAGATAGTATAGTATAAGAAGAAATGTGCATAAGAAAAATATATGAATAGGACAGCATTATACATTTTCAGAGCTTTTTGCTGCTCTCCATTACAAAAATGATAATTTAATAAGGACACTGAACCTAGAGGGTCAGAACTAAATGTTCAAAAGATTTAAACTAGAGACAAACTTAAGATTGTATATGACATGCTGTGTGGAAATATACATCCAGAAAAATTCATCATGAAACTCGTAACCAAGAAAAAAAATGGGAATGAATTGTTCTTTATCTGGAAATAAGAAACCTTTATATATTATGCGACTGCAATTCACAGTGTTGCAGTGCTGACTGAAATAATTACCAACAAGTTAAGAAAATTTAAACTTCTAACAATCTGGAAGTTTTGTGTCAATGATTCGACACTATACTTTTAAAAAACATTAGTGTTTTCAATAAATATCAATTCTTTCATTATTATGAATGCCTATAAGAGTAGATCAGACCTGATGAAAAAGAAGTTATAGTAAAAGAATATTCTTCGTATATTAATCAACTTTTTGAAAATTATATACTCCAGATAGGCATCATAGGATGTCAACACAGTTATATCTGCCTTCTTGAACACTGTCCAACGTGATTAGTCAGGTAGAGGAGTCAAAAAGTCTACGTCAGCAAACCTTGTGGATAGGAAGCCTACGATTGGTTAAAATTTGACCTTTACACTTCTTTACAACATGCCACCTCAATTCATTAGGTTTGTACTACTTTGATTGTTGAGCATAGCTGAGGCAGTCATCATGCGAATTGTTCAACCCAATATTTGTATCCAGAAAATGTTTGTTCTATCCTTCTCCGTCACACAATAATCACAATACGACCGGTTATTCCAACATAATTCTATAATCCACTACAACTTCAACTGTTTCCATGGCGATTAACTACCTATCAGAGGTTTATAATAGACCATATAACAAGTTATATAATTTCTGGTAAAGAAAGGAAGACGAAATTTGCAGTATAAAATGATATCATTCTATTTCACAGGTTCTCATCAGCTGCAGACTACCTGAAATTACAGTGGTTATATAGATGATAATAACATACTTTAATGTTTGAGTGGTGGTAGAGAAGAGATACTATAAAATTGACGCACTCAAACATTAAAGTATGTTATTATCATCTATATAACCATTGTAATTTCAGGTAGTCTGCAGCTGATGAGGACCTGTGAAATAGAACGATATCATTTTATACTGCAAATTTCGTCTTCCTTTCTTGATCGAAATTTATCAAGGGAACCAAATGTATGAAGTTATATAATGCCTATCTATTTTCTTTTACAAATATCTAAAAAAATGTTCATTCGTGGTGATTTGATTGACTGACTCCAAGGTACATTTTATCACTGAAAGAGATCAATTAGAAATAACATTAAAAAATTGGGAGCACTGAACAACTGTCTCATCCTGGTTGGAGAGACTATTCAGCAGTACGCAATAATGATCCCAATGACGGTAAGGGCGGGATCCAGAAAAAGTGTGCCAAGTTACCAAACGTGTACGTCACCAATCGCTTATCGAATCTCAATCCAATGATCTATGAATTCAAACTTTTTTTGATTCATGGTATAGCACCATCATCATCGAATTCTGTCAGTGCTTTAACGACATCTACACTAAAATATTGATTTTTGGTACTGTTAGACTGTGTAAAACGTTGAGTTCAAATTGTGACACTGAGCTGGTGACAGACGCAATAAACAAGAGTATCGCTTGTTGACGCCAAAGAGATAATCAACAGCTAACTGATCTCTCACTAAGCCACTTAAGCTAGGGCACTCAAAAGATGAGACGGAAAGTAACACTATATTTTCACAATAATGTATCATTCAAAATATCACCAAGAATATGTCAATTATTAGTCTGTAATTCTAAACAATGTAATTGTGGGGCGTTGTTATAAGTAGCCCAGTTCTGACTGGTTTATTTCCTGGCTAGATATTGATCATCAATATAAGGTTACCTACTTTCTGAAACTGATGTAATATAACGGTGATTATAATGTGAATTATCACCATTTATACTCAGTAACAACTTGAACACTATGTTGATAAACAAACATGAGGTAGTTTGGAAATCGCTTCAACACTACGAAGTGCCCCATAAATTTATCAACTTCATTCAACAGCTATATGATGATGTGGCATGTCAAATGATTTACAGCAGACACCTCGATGAAGTCTTGGAAATGAAGATAGAAGTTAGGTAATATCACTGATTATTCCTTAATTATGGTGAACTATGAGCAGTGAGAAGACAGGAACACGTTGGACCTACAGAAAGAATCTAGAAGATCTAACTTTTGTGGGTGATTTGTGTCTAATGTTACAAAATGTCGAAGATATACGCAGGCAAAAGACAACAAGCTCACAGAATAGGAAGTCACGACTTGAACACAGGAAATATAGAGATACTGAAGATACTCAACGACCAGAAACAACAAGCAACAACCAACATCAACGGGATGAATCTAAATGAAGTCATCAATTTCATTTGTCTATGTAGTGATGAAAAGACAGTCGACTTACCAGAAAGGAATTCTGAAAACGAACCAGCGGACAACTAATAAGTAAACAAGGAAATATGAAGAATTAGTTGGATACGAATTGAACATTCACTGAGGAGATCATCTAGTGATATTAAGCGCCAATAAGACCCTTAAATATAACCCAAAAGTGAGGGAAAACACGGGTTGCATCTGGATTTTTGGATGACATGGAGTAGACTATGTGAGGCAGACTAAGGAATGGAAGCCTATGAGCAACTGTGGAACCTGCTAAAACGGCAGCGAATAATATGCACGAAATTCAAAAATGTCCTGCTGAAGCCCTCCATTTGTTCCACCAGGAACCTAAGGCAATAATTAGGAATAATTTTGACAAAATTATAAACGAAAACAAAGTTAAACAATTTAAAAAAAACTGACTTACTTCGATTAAATTATTCAATAGAATATTATCAGATTTCAAATTTTCATTCATTTCAATTTGTTTGTTTAATTCATGTTGAATAGTAGTCATTTTTATTCTTATATCATTTATTTCATTCACCTTTAAATTGTAAGAAAATATAAAGATATAAAATACTTTTATTATTTTATCATTTACTAATAATTGAAATACTGAACTGGTTCATTTTATTTTTCAATTGTTATTTTGCAGGAATTTGGTTGATTCCATCAATTTGTAAAGACTTGGTATCTCCATACAGCCGAATAATGCACACCTTATCTTCAGTGCGTCATTTGCCCTTCTTTCACAATGAAACTAAACCAAAGCCTAAAACCAGCTACCAAAGAAACCGTCTTTCTTACTTGTCCAGCAAAATACGTGTTCAATTATTCTGATGTTTTACTCCCTCCATTTCAAATGCAAATCTTACCACTTGGATCCAAATTTTGTGATGCAACGTCAAAAATCAAATGAACTGAACGCGATAGTCCAATTCGAGAATTTAATCGACCAGACAAAAAAGATCTGGTCCCAACTTCATATGACAACCACGACTCTAGGAATTCCCTGACTGCCTTTTCGGTGCTTCATCTACTTAAAATGTCTACATTTTCCTAATCATCAAAATTAATGTCCATAATTATCCACATGCATTGATACGAAAGAATAGTTATATATCATGTCTTTTTACAGCCATTTTGTGTTGCTCTTGAATTCGGATTCGAAGGAGAGGTCCACTTTGACCACCGATGTAATGTTTATTGCAGTTCATTTTGTAAATGGTATTGATTTTATCTTGCTTCTTTTTCTGTTGGTCGGATCTTTTGTTTTGCACAATATTGAAGGGAGTGATTGTGTTGGCTTGTTGGATTATGTGCTATATCTATTTCAAACATTTTGAATATTTTAGGTGTTATTATTTCAGAGATATTTTTTATACGGTAGGATGAATTGTCAAGTGGTCTTTGCTATTAGCTTGTTGTTGGTGTTATGATGCGAATTTAAACATTTTTTGATGAAATTGTGGGGATGTGAATTTTTTTTTTTTGACGATGGTTACTAGGATTTTTCTTCTATTCTCTTCAACACCGGAATGATTCAGTGGGTGTTTGAATTCATTTTAAACAATGTCTGAGCATACTGTTTCTTTTGTGAGTAATCGTTTTATTACTATTATAGTTGAGTATTTGATCTATGTGCGTTGATTTTGCACACACTTGTGTTTTCAAATTTTCTGTGTTTGTTCTTTAAGGAGAATGGAACTTTGTTGTCTAATTCTTCCTCTCTTGTGAATTTAATATCTTCAAATAGATTGTGTCTTATTGCGGTAATTATATCATTAAAACAATCATACTCTTTGACAGATAGAAAACTTAGTTAACTCTTTGATGTAAACAGACCGCCTTTATGATTGATATATGCCAATAATCATGAAACTTAGGTCAGACAGGACTTTATGTCAATCACACAACACAATCTCATAACAGCGATTCAGAGTGCATCGTGATAGTGAGCCAACTAACTTGCTAGTGGTTATATTGAAATTTTGACTGATAGAATCTAATCTTCACCAAACTAAACATTATACACTAAATTGAATTTTAGATTTTCCTGTCGACTGACTGGACCTAAGTGCTTGGTCTCAGGTTGAAGTGTCAGCTTCATGTGAGAACATCATCACTCACGGGCAAATACAGGTACATCCAGCTTACGAGTCCCAAATAGAACGAAGTGCGTATCCCGTATTCCACTCCTAGTCACCATCCACCAATGAAAAATTGTACACATGAAACTAATTGATTACTCCCCAATGTCCAATCTAAGTACCTCATACAGTCTTTCAGAAGGTCATTCACGACTCAGAATAGCTCAGTGGTAACGTCTCTGACTGCAGCACTTAGTAACCAGGATGGATTTGAATTTCAGGATGGACATAAATTCCTTCAAGACTGCGTATAGTTGATGAGGTTAGCAAAAGAATCCAGGACATGCATAATGAGAATTCCCTACTATATCTTAATTATTGTTTGAAATAAAGCTCTTTTTATCGTCACTTCGTTCCATTTTGGACTCATCACCTGGATGCCCCTACATTCTCAAGTGACTGATGATGTTCCCACTGAGACTCGAAACAAAAGAGACCATCGATTCAAATGTCAAAATGTTTATTATCCACTAATCCATTAGAATTCATTGATAGCCAGTGACAAGAGAAAAAATAACACCGCTATTTTGATCCGTTGACTTTAGAACTAAATGCAATACCGCTTTTTTCATGAAAACTTTTTTGTGCATTTTCATCTGCCTGTGTGTGTGTGTGTACGACACGTTAGACAGATAGACATTTAAAAAAGGTGAGCGTTAGATCTTAACGCACCACAAAGTATTTTTCATGAATCATTCTTTATTTATTCTAAAAATATAGATCGAAAATCAATACATTCTATGATTCATTATCACCGAAATGAAATTTCATAGAAAATTTAAAAATTTACTGGTACATATTGATTAAGTTTTCTAAACATTTACATGTGAAGTATAAGTGCAGCAATACAATAAGATGAGAGCATGGAATTCATGGGCCATTGGATTGGGTCCAAGTGCCTTAATGGTCTACGAGCTCACTAGTCTTGTAGCCAGAAGGTCCTGGGTTCGAACCACTGTGGTGGGTACGTTTCACTGAAGAGTCCCAAACTGGGACGAAACAGCTGGTTGTCCAGTACTCCCAGGTGGTTTCTCAATGGTCTTCTAACTGATATCAGCTCATGATGAAATCCTCCAGCCAATTAAATAATACCCTTACCAAACCAATTCTTGAAATATAATAGTTTTGATAGCAAAACCTGAGGAGTCAAAGCGAACTAGACACATACTGAATGTAGAGGTTAGGGGTAGTTTTTTTGAATATATAGATCCAGCTTCAGCATGCATATGCTGAGGGCTTCTACGGTAGTACAAAGAAGTCGGAAACACACTGCCTTCGGTGGATTTTCTTTGCTCACTTTGTGAATAACTCTGAATGATAAGTTGGTCAAGATGTTGTCACGAGTGTTGACGAGGTATTCAGTTATTATAGTTCTAATTGAACCAGTGCCTTCTCGTAGCAGTCATACTGTGTATTGTCCTCCGGCATGTTTTGAAAGTAGGCGCATATAACGATCTACATACTTAGGGCAGGTGATATATGCACATTGGAATGATCATAAGAGGGAGTTTGTCCTTCACTTTACTTAAAATGTCGAAATGTAACATGCAAGTCTTAGAATAGTCTTTGAAGAAGTTGTGTTCTGTGAACTGGATAGTTTACTTGCAAGGCTTTCATTGCCCTACTGGGCAACATCTTCCTTCAGCGCATACTTCAATTCACTGAAATGAGCTTTTCGATTTCTCCACAAGTTTATTTGGCATTTCTCCAGGGGAGGACCTTCAATGTGATTGGTCGCTTCTGTGTGTTTTCACACCCTTTAGGCTAATTGTACTGGTACTGATTGTTTCCTTGACCTGAAGTTTGACCCTTTCTTCTTATGAATTGATATATTTTTGTCTATGTACATGCGTCTATTAATTGACGATTCAATGGAGTACCAGGCTTCTTAGGCATTCATGGTGTTTCTTCTATTTAATATTTCAGCGTTGTCCCAGTCGAATCGATTCCCGTGGTTGTATGTATGCTGAGTTATGAGGCAGCGAATGTCATGTCTTTTGACAGCTAGTTTATGTTCATGGATGTGAAGATGAAGACGACATCCACTTTGGCCAGTGTAAGGTTTTTCGTGCAGAGAGGAAAAAGGATGGCAATTACAAAGTCATTTGAAACGTCCAAACGAGAAGAAACATCGTTATTAGATCGTTCGCTGAAGGGATTTTCAAAATAAATTTTCTGTTATACATATAGCGTTGAAACAGCAAAGGTCTCTTTAAGGTAACTACTTAATAACTATTCCCTAATCCTGTGTAATAAGATTTAAGACGTGAATGGTAGCCTTGTAGTGTCTGATGTCACTGTCTGAATTCCCTCCCGTTCAGAGTGGAAAAAAGAGCTACAGGCCTCAGGTGATAGGATGATATTTCTATGGGTTGGAGTGGCTGTCCTCACGTCAAATCTTCTCTCTTTTGATGCCTTACCATTGGCCAGTAAACTGGGTGACTTCAAGCGAGATTCATGGATGAAGATGTCGAAATTTAAAAAAAAAATCGGTGTCATGGGGAACTCACCAACCAATCATAGCAGACTAAAAGTGTGCAGATACGATTCGCAGATATATGGCATAACTGTCCAGGAAACGGTCACACGTAGTACAAAATAACCTTCGGCAGGCATACAGCCAATCAGAAGACGTTGCTTCTTCACTGACAATAATGTACATAAAAACCTATGAATATCTGTTTATTTCTTCGATAAACGATCTATTGTCTGGCCCTTGTCTTCTGTCGTTACAGTATGACTAAGATTTTGTTAATTTCAACGGCTTTCAATTTTAGAAAAAGATTAAGTCTACTGAATTCAACTAACAAACATGAAGCGCCTTAAGATGAACTGAACTAAACTGAATTTTCACTGAAGACACTGCACAAAAGTGTAGCAATCCAGATGGTGGTCACACTCTATAAAGTGTGCATAAAAGTAGAGCAGGAAGGAAGAAATCTAAAGAATTTTTTAGAAACGAAAATGATATAATAATAGTTTGGTGAATGCAAGGGATAACAAACAGTGAATATATTTGCTTCATCGGCAGCAACTTTGAAACATCTCGCTAACTTTCTGTTGCTAACTATTGGCTTCTGACAAATCGAGAACTTTACTCAAGCAGTCAATATCTCCTGATGTGTCTGGATCAAACCGACAGTTAAAGATTTCATGGTTTAATGTCATTTGCGATTCTACCATCACCCAACCTCCTCCTAACTCAATCGAATCTTACCTAACAAAGTTCATCAGAGAAGCCAGTGGCTTAACATACGCATCAAAAACCCCAGTCATTTCAGCTGATGCCTATATGACAGGAACTTGTGATAGGAAAATGCAAAAACATTCCTCGTGACTGGAAGGTCCTGTGTTCGTACCTAGGTGGATGGGTACTGCCAGTGAGTTCTAAACT